TCTTAGTATGGAACTTCTCAACATTGCGCATCTAAGACCCCATGTGCAGCACTCGAACACAGGACCTTGGTTCTCGCACGCACTGAAGATAACAAAGTTGACTTTTGTACAAGTGAATTATTTAGGTAACAGAGTACGTGTGGTCTACTGTACTTTCTAATCATTTATTCATTGTCCAGATAATTATTGATGAAGTGAATTCAGGAGGAAATGAGTCAACTGAAGATTTCGAGAGTATCAAGGAGTATCTTCATCAACAGAAATGAGGATAAGTGAAATGTACTGTCACAAATTGAAAGTATTTCAAAAGGAATAATAATTGATGTAAATGACATTATGTCAATAACTTTTCTACTACCACAGAGAACTACCACAGTGCAATTCACATACAACAATGATAAGACAAATATAGTGTTGAATATGATTTGCTAACTGGCTAACATCCTTAGTTGTAATAATTCAAGAGGTTATTAATAGTTTGAATAACTTCTGATCGTGTAACCAAGTGATATAAAGTCCAATGTCAGTGGATATCGATATCAATTAGGTGTGAAATGTTGGAAATCAGAGAGCATTGGACAACTGTTTTACTCTATTTAGACAATCTTCAGTAATATTTACCCCCCCCCCCAAAAAAAACAATCACACAATCTCGAATCAAAACTTAACGCAGATATCAACAACATCTAAAACGTAAATCATCGGATTCCGACACAGTAGACTAAAAAATTCTGAAGTTAGATTTGTGTAAAGTCAGATCAATGCAGCGTGGTAGATATTTGAACTCTCTTGGCTGTTATTACTTATCCTCTGATTTTTATCGGCTTCAAAATGAGGAATACACACAGACTTTCTAATCTAAATAGGATAAGTTTACATCCTTTTAAAGAGCAGGGATTTGATAGAAGCTGTATTTATTACATATAACCACTAAAACAACTTCAGAAATCTCCAGTGCATTTATAACTAGCTACTGCACTAATATTCATCAACTACTACCAGAATCGTTATTTATTATGATGTAAGAATAACTTTATTCTACGCAACTCTTAAATAATCTGGGATATTTACAACATCGGCCGTGTATCTTATCTATTCAAATTCGTCAGATAACTGTATGCATACAATCCCAAATCAAAGTCACATGATCATTAATGACTAATTTTGTGAGTTATTGACCTGAGTTTTAGTGAGAAGCTATGATCAGTGAAGTTCTGTCATGTTGAGTTCGAGACAAATACCTACCGAAGGCGTTGTCAAATGGTTGTGCAATATCGTGAATTGATTGTAGTGAGAAATGTAAACAACTGGGTTCTGATTCAATAGTTTATGGGTTGAATGTTCTCTGTGAGACTTGGATGATATGGGTTCGGTCTCCTGTGCAGCATTGGGTATGCAGCAATGAAGATTACCAAACCAGGATCAAATAAGTATCTAGTGCTTCCTGATGTACAGTGGCTGGCGAACTAATATCAGTTCATAATCTGAACTACCAAATGAAAGTATTATTTCTTCTACCTATTAAATCTTCTTCATTTACCTTGTGAAGATTAACCCATTTTTCATTACTCCATAGACTTACTCTATCTAACGAATCATTAAAATGCTAGAAGTATTAGATAGTTACATCTGACAGGTGGACAACTACTTCAATCTATAGCCAATGACAGGACAAACAGGATATTCAAGTCTCACAGAGAGAACATTACATATAAACGACTAAGTTAACATCCGATAGTCCACATATTTCATTTCATGCTATCACTCTGTTCAGTTTATAACTACGCTTCGACAGACAGATCAAACCCTAATAAATAATAAACAGTTAATATTGTTCATAATTATATTCTATGCGTGATAGTTTAAATTAGGATCCGAACTCTGAAGGTTTCCAAAGTTGAATGCAACATATGTAAACATTTGTTTGAATTTGAACAATTACTTTGACAAAAATTGAGTTTCAAGTAGAAATCCTAAATTCACTTGGTATTGTTTGCTTGAATCTTTCCATTGTGAATTTAAATTTCACCCCATTGCACAATCAAGTGGTTATCAAGACTCAGCAGCTAAGTGGATAACACGATGGCGTTTAAAGCGGAAGGTGCTGGGTTCGAGTCCCAGAGTGAACATCAAACATGGGATAAAGGTATATCCAGCTGGTGACTCACAAATAGGACGAAACACGCGTCCTGGATTCTACTGCTAGTCCCCATCCATCTTTGCTTATGAAAATTCTATTTAAAATGACCTCAGAGACTGGAATTTCAGTAATTCCAACATTTCGCCTGGAAAATTGATTCAAAACCTAAAACAAATTATGTTAAAAATTGGGCTTTTTAAAACCTCATTCATTCTGTAATAATATTTATATTAAGTATTTCCTAAAAGAAGCTAACACCAGTTAGCTGGATAGAATATTGAAATTATTTTTATTTCAATCTCCGAGATTATAACGTTTACACTTAATTTAAAATGCAACTAAAAGGTTAAGCGTTCGTGATCAAGACTGAAAGTTCTGGGTTCGAGTCCCGCTTGCGAGATCGTGAATACACACTGCTGAGGAGTCCTATACTAGGACGAAACGGTCATTCAATGCTTATAGGTTTTCAAATGATGATCAATTCATGAATTCAACTGTGATATCTTTACAATCCTTCTATCCTTAAATGATCCTACTACTGTAACCATTCATCTCATACTAATGTTTATTTTAATTCTGAAACATGTTTGCCAATATCTTAGTGCTAAGTTATTTCGATAGTGTAATAAGATGATGAAGATGATCAGAACTATGTGATGATGTATATATTAGCGCAATACATTTCGAACAATCTGATCACACTTAATATACTTGTTAAGAACAGTTATCTATATAAAGAAGAAATAAATGGTCAACTAGACTAGAAATGGAGGGTAAGCGGTGATAAAGCTAATAAAGAAAATGATATGAACCCAATTTGAAACCTCATCACTTCCACATAATAATGATAATAATAATAATAAGCTAATATTACCATGGTAAGTTTAAGGTGAGAACAAACAATTTTTGAATACATAAAGAGGGTTAGGGTTAGGGTGTGGATTTTTGTATGGTTTAGGTGTCAGTTATTCATATCACAGTGATAAATTTCATAAATAAACATCATCTTATATTCGCTTTTTCTCTATTCTCTTTTAACCCCCCTCCCCCCCTGAATATTTTCTTCTTTACCCACTCTCTCTCTCACACACACACACACATACCCAAGTTATTATTAATCTCTATAACAAAATTCATTTCACTTACGCTTTAAATTTATATTGGTTTAAATATCAAAAATAATTGTTATGTAATATATGAATGCGTGTGTGTGCGTGTGTGTGCGTGTGTGTGTGATCTGTATTCCCTACTTGATTCTCCCAATTAGTTTATCCAAGGGATAAAAGTTAACTTTTTATCATAATTAGAAAGGGAGGGAAAATCAAGTTATGATGTATATACCATTGTATACAACATGTATGTATGTATGTATGTATGTTTGTGTGCATTTGTGTGTAATTACCTGATACATCAAAACCATCATAAAATGAATATAAATAGGGAATTTGTATAGTTTCACTTACCATCTTTGATCAGAGTAAAAACGGGTTTAATACACTTGAAAGTATAAAAAATAAAACTAAAAGAGATATGTCTTATTCATTTAATTTCTCAACGCCAATCTTCTCAAATGAAGCATCTATTCAATTAAATGGTAAGTTGATTTCATATCTTTAAACTAATTCTATATGGATTCAATTGATATTTTGATTGAGATTATGAACCGATTGTGGTTAGACCACCATTGAAAATCTAGAAGCACTGAACGGTTGTCTTGTCCTATTGTGGGACTCCTCAGTATTGGGCATCAACAATTCCGCTCGCGGGATTCGAACCCATAACCTTCGGTTTCGTGCATAAGCGCCTAACCTAGTGATTTATTGCCTAACATCAATCGGTTCATGATCTTAATCAAAAACTTAACAATCTCCGCAACCCCTAAAACTATCGATTGATTTTGTTTTTACTGGAATTTTCCCACTGATGTTAAGGGCTACAATTGATCAGTCTGTTATTGGTATGTGTACATACTGTGCGCATTGCCTCGATACAGCCTTAAGTTACAAGCATTATATATAAAGATGGATAGTGACAAGCATTGGTATCGAGGAAGCGCGTTTTGTTCCATCTGAGACTTGTCAGCTGGATGTACCTGCATCTCAGAGTTGATGTACACTCTAGGACTCGGATCCAGTACCGTTCGCTTCAAATGTCATCGCGTTATCCACCTAGCTACTGAGTCCTGATATGTATAGAGTAAGAAATTCAGATTAAGATGAAATGATATTTTTATAGTTAATTATTATATACTAAAGGTTAATAGATTGTTAATCTTCTTTTCTTCCTTATGAAATTTAGTAGTTAAGTTTCAACTTCAAATTTTATAGGCCAAAATACAGAGAAAAACATGTACCTATCTTGAAGATACAAATCTTTTATTTGATCGGACTTTTATTTGAATCCATCGATAGAAGGAACTATAAACCAATGTAGATATGAAGAGGAGTTCCTCTTGTTAATGATATAACTGAAAATTCCTGTAGTTAGCTGATAAGTAATTAGTCATTGATTTATAGAATTTTTCTGGACTTCTGAATGATAAGTAAAATGTTGAGATAGAAGATGTAAAGTGGAGTATCTTAAATTTGTATAACTTTCCAGTGGTTATCAGTATGGGGTTGTGGAGATTAGGAACCGATTGTTGTTAGACCACGATTGAAAATCTACAAGCACTGAACGGTTGTCTTGTCCTATTGTGGGACTCCTCAGTATTAGGCATCCCCAATTCCACTCGCGGGATTCGAACCCACAACCTTCGGTTTCGTGCGCAAGCAATTATTTATATAATATATGTGTACATACAATATGAGTATATTATTCTATCCATCATTCTTTGATATACATTTCTTTTCTTTTGTAGACACTATTTCTACACCAGAGCACCTTTCTCAATGTTTCTATTTCCACAATAACTTTAATCATTATTCAAACTTTCCCAATTGTTTATTGAATAATTTAAAATTGAACTCATATACAACGAGTCAAATCTATTGTAATGATAGTGGTTATAAAAGTATTGATAGTTTGAATAGAGTGAATCAGTCTAAACAAAAAATTTCCAAATTAAAATTCTCAATCGATTCTATTTTATCACATACACCATCAATGTCATCATCATCGCCATCGCCATCATCATCATCACCATCATCATCATCGTTGCCATTAATCAATAATTCTAATATAAGTAGTATATTTTTTAAAAATAATGAAAATTCTACACCATTAATTAAAACAAATAGAATAATTGAATGTTTTAATCAATATAATCAACAGAATAATCATCAATTGAATATGATTGAAAATCAATATTTTCTTGATCATGAACAATTATATCCAATGGATTTATCCATTGGGTATAATTGTAAATCATCATTAATGATGAAACAATCAATAAAAAATGTGATAAAAACAACTGATGAACAATATAATTGTCGATATTGTGGAAAATCATATTCACTGAAGTCGTCAATAAGGTAATTCATTTGATTGAGCATATTGAATTTATTATTAGAAAAGGGTTTTTTTTTGTGTGAAGATTTTAGTCATTTAATAATTGAATTCATGAGTTCATTGAAGTTAGACCATCATGAAGGAACTTGGAAGCACTAGATATTGGATTCGAATCTCATGGGACGGGATCAGAGATGCTCATTGCTGAGGAGTTCCATGTTAAATTTAAACAAATAGTTTTCATAGGTAAGAAAAGAAAAGAAAGTACTAATTAACAGTAAGTGTTGTTCTAGTTCACAACTGTTGAAAATAACAGTACTGAGTTATATTCATATCTAAGTTAACAGAAGTTAATCACTTAATTAAATTACCTTAGAAGGGGTTTTTGTGAATATTATAGTAATTTCAATAATTGAGATCATGAGTCAATTGAAGTTAAACTACTATGGAAAACCTGGAATCACTGGACGGCCGTTTCGTATTATTGTTGGATTCCTCGACAGTGCGCATCTACGATCTCGTCTCACGAGATTTGAATCTGGATTTTATTCAATATTAAATTTTTGGTACAATATAGAATTCGCAGCATATAGTTTTTCAGTTTTTGAAATCATGAGTCAGTTGAAGCTAGACCACCATTGAAAACCTGGAAGCACTGGACGGCCGTTTCGTCCTGGTATGGGACTCCTCAGCAGTGCTCATCCACGATCCCGCACCACGCGGAGCTCGAACCCAGGACCTACTGGCTTCGCGCGCGAGCACTTAACCACTAGACCACTAAACCGGCATCCAACGGTGTTAATGTCTAACTTCAACCAATCCACGAAGTTGCGCCACCGTACACCATTGTCTTCAGTTTTTGATTTCTTGATCAATCCTGACGATAAATATTGAGTAATCACCAATTAGATGTTAGCAGTTCAGTAATCGACATGTGAATAATGTAAATTCTTTTCGATGTATATTGCCAGCAATCCTAATGTCTTTGATTGTGCTCTTTCCTAACTTGTACAACGAAAAGTCGTGAACTTTTCATAAACACACTTGAATAAGTTGTGCAATTAATTGATATAATAATCTGTTAAATCAAATAGAAAACAAACACAGATAACTTGTTTGAATATGTAGATGGCAAGAATAGGTAGCCATGATATTTAAGTTAACTGCTTATATATTAATTACTTCCTGAATACACTTACTAATTGTCAACGTTAAACAGTGAATAATTTACAAGCCACTGAAAAAAGTTTGTAGTGCGGCGTCGAGTCATGGTTGACTATGATCACCACTACAGGAAGACTACGTGCCAGTTAACCGATAAGATCCCCATAGGCCAAATAACAGAAGGCAGTTGATGACTGTAATAGAGATGTATTTGTTAGCGATCTCTAATATGTAACACTTACCCGGCTGAGAATGCTGAATGTAATGCACTTGTTGATCAATCATAAAGTTGAGAATAATCTTGATCGAATCTTATAGTTGCTGATATTGAATATTGAATATACATCAAGAATATGTTAAGTATTGATTATTAGATTATACAAGATCAATGTTTTTCATCTTTTGTTGTTGTTGTTGTTGTTGTTGTTAACTTTAGATTACATGAAGCAACGCATACATTGCCATTTCATTGTCAAGATTGTGGTAAACGTTTTTCACGTCCATGGCTTCGTGATATACATTATAGAACGCATACAGGTGAAAAACCATATGAATGTATTATATGTGGCCGACGTTTTGCTGATCGTTCAAATATGCGCGCACATCAACGTGTTCATAAAGAACGAGAATAATAGTTGGTAATTTGGTTAATGAAGTCTCTACACACTTTTACAATCAAATTTCGAACTAATGAAATCGGCAAATTGGCACACAGTGGAACGCAACCAAACACTTCGTGTTGACGGTTGGTGATATTTCAATTTTATTAGGATCTTTCAGATTAAGCCGTGATTATGATTACTTTAAGGAAACTGTTTGTTATATGCATTGATAATAGTTAATTATGGGACAAACATAGTGACTGGATATGTTTACACTCTATGCTGACAAACTTCTTCTTTTTGTCGGTTAAATAATGACCCAGTCTTTTAAAGGTTAGTGAGTTAAACTAAAGAGATAAACAAGTTTTCATCTCCCAAACATGACTAGAAATGGTGAACTAAGCCTAAACTTTAGATTATTAAGAGTTTCGTCTCATTTTTAAAGATGAAAATCAAAATGATTGAAAGATATCAGTTTCAGTTTGACTTCAGTATATCTTTGATACATATGAAGCTTTTCTGAAAATATCATGATCGGTGAGATTATAATTTATGGACGAACCAATCAGATATAAGATTACCAGTTTGGGGTTTTGCCGCGAAATTCACCCATCCATTTGGTTAAGTAGCGTTTTGACATCATAACCGATGTCAGTTCGTGATAGAAACCATAAATCTAATTCCTAGCCCTAACTATCAACTGTAAATCATAATTCTAATTCCTTTCACTGGTTTACAACCCTCATATAGTCCTGGTTATTAGGTGGACGTTTTCAAGGTCACTTTAGCGTCACTCAAAGGTTGTCCATAAATTATAATCCCACCAAAAAATCTCCTGGAATAATTTGGAATGATAAATTTGCTATCACTTCATAGAAAGGTCTTGTAGTTATTCACACTGTACTCCACTGAATATTCAGTTATTTTCCTTAAATATCAGATTGGTGGGAATCTCTTGGGTAAGCGTTTGTCTATACATACCACCCAGATATTGAAGTGTTTTTTTTTCAGCAGAAAGATTATAAAACTAGAAGCAATAGACAAATAGGTCATAGATAAGCTAAATAAATTTATGTATTTATAATGTATATGAATGTGTTTCTCTTGAGCTTCATATACACTTTAGATGAGATAAATACAGATCCAGAATTCATCAGAAATGAACAAAGGATAAAGATTGAGTTCAATATTTATGAATGAGTTGAATTAAACAAAGATCTAACTGTTATCGTCAGTCAGTCAGTCAGCAACAAAGTAGAACTTCGTACGTACTTCGTACATCAGTTCGAGTTATAGTACAAATGGTATACAAATCCGAGAACGGTCAATGGCCCTATTTAGGGCCCTTTTAAAAATTGATTTACCCAATTGTTTTTGTCTTCCTTTAATTAATCCAAAAGAAAATTTATGTTCTCTATGGATGGGTGTAATAAATAAGTTTGTATGTTTGGTTTCAATTTGTATTAGCTGTAGGTAAATGATATTATATTTAGCTATATGAATAATATCAAACATGGTCTATTCACAACCAATCCTAAATAGATAATGATAGTACTTCTGATGTAAATTTCATTGATATTAAAGATGTCAAAAGTGTTTGAAGTTTGACAATATCTTAACTATTAACATCTTCTATAATCGAAACGTACCAACTCAATGAAATCAGAAGTCTGAAGTGAAGAGATTCGAAGATATATTTGATAGACTATCGATATATCAAGAGGTGACTGTTCTAAACTGGCTAGCAGTTGTAAGCCAAGTTGAGTACAATGTATCAACTCGTGATCTGGTGCGCCTTTAGTTAAGTAAGTCCATTAAAACAAATGTGATCAGCATCAAATGTCGAAGATTTACAGAGCTAGTGATTTTGAGGATTTATTTACCGCTACAATATGATCAGCCACCTAAGAAGAAATACCAGCGAGACTATAATCTATGGACAAACTAATCAGGTATAAGATAATAGGTTTCGAATTTTCACTCATTCATTTGGCTAAATAAAGTTTTGACATTATAGCTGATGTCAGTTCGTGATGAAACCGCTAAATTTAATTCCTAACCCTAATTATCAACTGTAAATCATAATTCTAATTCCTCACACTAATTTATAACCCTCATTTGATACCGGCCATTAGATGAACACTCTCATGGTTACTTCAGCGTTGCTCAACGGTCGTCCATGATTTATAGTCTCAGCGAAATGCCATTTTGCTGGTTAGTGGCCTATGTTCCATTGGGAGTAACAGGAGTAAGTAAGCAAGTATGTAAGAAATGCAATTTTAGATACAAATTAAGATTTTATCTAGTTGTATAATTATAGTCGAAAAGGGCTGTGATACTACCCGGGTGCCCAAACCGAAGCAGGTGGTTATCTTAGAGGGCCACTCTCCGAGCCTTCGACCTGAAGGTCTGATCCACAAGGCAGTGGAGCATCGTAAGGAGATGCAGTCCCATGGAAGCCGGTGACCAACAATTGGTTCATACGCCATTTGTTCCCACAGGATACTGGAGCCCATGTGCACCATTGGTTTGGGATACGGTTAAAGCGCTGGACATTCGCTTTTCGTCCTCTCATTTTCGTAAACAACACCCCCACCACGAGAAGGCAGTGAGTAGGACTTCCCTGGCAGAGGCTATATACGCGTTGCCATGTGAGAGCATTTAGAGAGGGAGAGCGGACTCTCCCCACTCTCGGCCGTACCAGGGCATTTGGGGGCAATGAAATAGTGGATTCAAAAGTAGATTAACTGACATTTTATTGATTTAGATAATGCCTAACTCATCGTATTGTATGATAGTGTTCGTTATAATATGCTACATTCTGATTTCTCCCAAGTTTGAAGACATTAAGTGTATCATGTCACATTATCATACATCAGTTCTGTGGATAGTATTTGATTGTGATAGAAGTTAACCTCTTGCAAAGAGATTCGTAAAACCTATAGTATCAAAATATTAGGTCCTTGGAGGTAATCAACAGAAAGTTTTCGATACAGACTTTAGAATAGTCGGTACTCATGAATAAGAGGTATGTGAGACCTTGAGGAGACTAAAGTTCTCCATAGAATTCGGACCGATATCACTCAGTATAACACGCAGAGATCATTCCATTAAACTATTGAGACATTCCGTAGGATTGATATATTCAGATTGACTGATCAATGAACACTAACCAATGTCATCTGTAATATATTATTACAGATCGAATTCTGTTGGTCAAGTATGTCATACTTGCATATTTTATTGTATCAAGAAATAATCGGACTAATCGGATTCCAGAAATTCATGCATTATGGCTCATTAATATTGTTCAACACCACCCAGTGATCAATCAACCGTGAATACATCTCAGTTCAACAACAGGTCAGTCACGGCCAGGATGTCCCACTGGTTACATCTCTCACTGTGAAGCTGGGTGACACAGGACCAAATTTGTCAGGGAGCATCAATTCCCTGAAGATTACAGGTACAACTTGTTGACGAGTACCAAATAGCACGAAACCCGTGTCCAGAGTTTCCTGTTGACTACCTGCAACCACAATCTTATCTCAACATGGTGCACTCAATGTCGAGTCACCTAGACTAGTGGTCACATTACAACTTGGTTAATAACATTCGATCTGCACTAAGAAGAATCTGACACACATGACATCGATCACCACCCAGTGATTAATCAATTGTGAAGGTAGATCACTACAATTTTGGTCGCTTACTTGAGTTGGCTGATAATACAAAGTAATTGTTTCCATGATTTATAGTCGACACAGCTAGTTATATCATTACTAAATTATACTATAATTATTGAAACTACTAACCTTTTAAAGTTTAAAAAGTGCGGCTTTTCTGAAATGAAAACACTCATATACATATTACTAATAATACTAGTCTCAGATCAAGGAAACAACTTTCTAGCTAGATAGCCACAATGACATTAGCTAATAATGCTCAATGACTCATAACTAAAGCAAGAACAATTAATTTAGTACAATAAAACGAGTATAGGGTTGTGGAAATTGTTGAGTTTTTGGTTGAGATCATGAATCAATAAATGTTAGATCGCCGTTGAAAACCTGGAAGTATTGAACGACCATTTTGTCCTAAACTGGGACTCTTTAGCAGTGCGCGCGCGAGATCGAAGGTTGTGGGTTCGAATCTCACAGGCAGAATCATCGGTGCACACTGATGAGAAGTCCCATACACTGGGATGAAACAACTGTCCAAAATAAAATTAATTTATTGTATTTCGCAGTTCCTTATCAGTTGCTTACAACCTAAACATAATAGGAAAGATGGACAGTGGCTAGCAGTGGAATCCACGACGCGCGTTATGTCCTATTTTGATACTCGTCAGATGGATGTACCTGCATTTCAGGGTTGACTTTCACTCTAGGGCTTGAATCCAGTACCGTCCGCTTCAAACCCTATCACGTTATCCATTTAGCTACTGAAAGCTGATAGCCAATTGTTTGTGCAATTAATCTTAAAAAAGAAATCAGTATACATATTTTATGTATCACAATTTCGGAAGAGTTCTTACCAATGCAGATTAATGAAAAGGACAATGAATATGAGAAAATGACGAGAGGTGTTCATATGTTAATCAATGTGAATTTTCATAAGTGTATTTATTTATTTAAACGCATAAACATTGGTACAAGGAGACACCGAATACATATGCGTCACACAAGTCACTTGATTTGTGTGTGGGCTGTGATACTACCTGGGAGCCCAGACCGAAGCAGGTAGTTTTATTAGGAGGTCATACCCGTAGCCTTCGACCTACATGTCTGATCCATAAGGCAGTGGAGCAACATCAGGAGATGTAGTTCCATGGTAGCCGGTGACCAATAATCAGTTCATACGACATTTGTTCCTTCAGGATCCTGGAGCCAATGCACATCATTGGTTTTGAATCGGGGTTTTCCAACTCCCCTAGGTGGACTCTCCGTGTCCACCAACTCGGTTTAAATGCCAGACATTCGCTTTTCGTCCTCTCAATTTCGGAAACGACTGTAATACCGAGAGAAGGC